TTTTTGACCAAGGCAAGGATGCGCAAGGATTCAGTGGATGTCCGGTGGCGCAAGTTTCACTGAAGAATTGTTACACAACACAAATATAAGAGGAAGCAAAAGAACAGCTCCTGATCTTGCTGACGGAGGTGTGCTTTGATAAGGACTGCAGATCTCCAAGGTCCTTAATAAGAAAGGAACAAGCTGACAACAATGAAGCATGTTTGATTCTATATGACCTGACCAAAGACCCCCCACACCCAGTGATCTAGGTCGATATGAGGTGCAAATCCGGTTGTTTGGTTAGGCCTGCAGTTTGAGACACATCGACTTGCTTTGTTCGTCACACTGCAACTTCGGATGCAATGACCTCTTCGAACTTCGCAACGCGCTTCTACTCACCTCACTGCACAGAAGCAAAAGCTATATAAACAGCTTTCATTTTGCCGAGCAGTTCATCCGACCTGTCCGACTCATGATCCTTTCCAAGCCCAAAACCATCCATGGTGTAAGTGTAGGACCCCTAAAACCAGCCCAATGTAGGTAAATAGGTCTTACAATGACATGTCAAAAAGCTTTCCAAACGAAAAAACCCACTGCAGGGGGGCACTCTGAAAGCCTTCAACGGTTCCACCCAAAAGCCCGCAACTAAAACGAACACGTGGAAATACCCGGGGGTGAAGGACTCATCAGTTAGCGTCGGTCGCGTTGGTTCGAAGCAAACCAAAAGAGGTTGAAGAACCCAGCCTGTAGACTATCCCATCGGTACCCCGGTAGGGTCCTATAAGGTCACTTAACCTTTTCTTAGAAACTCATCAGTTCTTAGGTGGCTTTTTGTTGCTGTTGTGTTTCTCACCCTGTAAGATCGGCAGATGGTTTTTTTTCTTCTGACTTTGGACGTTTGCGAGGCGCAGGAACCGCAGAACATAGGTTCCAGCACCTGGCACGCGCGGCGGAACCCGGGGTGGCGAACGGCTGTTGAGGCCTGGCTGGTTTGGCCACACCCGTTGTTGCTGGAACTGAACCAGGGTGAGGCTTTGCTTCACGGAAGCATTCACGGAAAGGTGGAGGCATCGGAAAACGCTAAGCCCTGCCATCGAAATAGTATTGCTAGCGTTAGGGCGGCCAGAAATATGTAACGCCGCGCAATTCCTGAACCTGAAACTAAGGTTGGAACCCCAGCTGCTGTGCAGGGTGCACATCACACCCTTTATAGAAAAATACAAAATAGAAGTGTAATATATTTTAATGTTCATTCACCCATGCTTAACAGATCAAGAAACAATTCTGTATCTATCGCAGCATCTTTATATACTGTATTGTATTGTATATACATATATTACCGTATATGACATATTTACACGCCTACGGCCTTCCCATGCTTTACACTTCTCATTGTTCCCTCGTCATCTCATGAAGGGAAACAGGTCTCCAATGGCCTCCAAGTAGAACTGCCGGGTCGTGCAGAATGCCAAGAATGCCACGCCAGGCGATCCTTCCATCGCGACCAAGAATGATCCGCTGCGGGTGCATCAAAGTCGTGCTGATTGTCTAGCAAGTTGTCCTCGCCGATCAGCAGGGCCTCCACTTCGGTGAGCAGTTTTTGTGTCAATGACTGCACCCTGAAGCTGAGCGCCCAACAAAAGGTGTCGGCCTCCGAACATCGCTTTCTGCTGCTGCCGGCAGACGCCCAGGTCGAGGCCGAATCTTGACAGGTTGACAACTGCTGCAGTAAGGTTTGTTGATTTGCATATCAAATTATGAGATTGATTATGTAAAGGTGCTCTTTCATGTTGGCATGAGTTGCTGTAAGTTTTTTCGGTCACACGCCTTTTTGGCTCGTGGAGAGTGACTCCAGTGAGTTGCAACTCGCCCCGCTGGGTACCGATCTCAATGGGTCAACAAGCCTCCGCAGAGAGTGAACACCTGGAGAAAGGCGGGGACGATGTGGACCGAATCCGAATTTGCATGTTCGTTGGAAAAGGGTATACTATATACTATACTATATATACTATATATACGGAGACACGAGATCACATGACCCTAACATAAAGAAAACATACTATATACTTCAGACATACCATTATACTCAGGTAGGAACTGAGACTCCAGGTTTATACCTAGAACCTCATTAATTAGTTATGACCTGTAATTTCTGTTCAACTTCATCTAGGCAGAAAATTAGCAATGTTTTCCTGAAGAACACCTAAGATGCAGCCTCGAGGGTCCAAAACGCCGAGGCACAATCACATGCATTACTACCTGCAGGAGGCTTTGATTTAAACATATGCTGAGGAAAAATGCTTACCACCTGATGCTCCCTGGTCTAAAGTATCTGAAACTCATGTCAGCTCACTCACTCCCCCAACAAGGGCCACCATTCCTTTGTCCACTCAACTACTGATTGTAGTAGGGGGAACGGGTAAGAACGCCCAAGTGACAGGAAGACCCCCTAGCAAAAATACGTTAAAAGCATCAAACAACAAAACATCACAGAACCACAAGAATCATGCAAAAGTGAAACAACAAGTGAATTCCTGATAAACAAATTTGCCTCATCACTGGAACCAGTGGTGGGTGGATCCTCATCTATTTGAGTATTGCCACCAAAAGGACAAGAACACCTAGAGGGGACAAGCACGCCTACAGCGGGCAAGAACCCCCAAGCACGGACAAAGGCGCGTTTACCCATACTAGGCAAAAGTTTCAGCTCAAGAAGAGGTTCTGTTTACAAGTTGGTTCTTTTTGAGAACCCTGTCAGGTGTGAAGAGTGTGGTCTTGATTCATGGCCTTGCTTCCTGTGCTTTGATGGGGCGAACCGCCGAGGGCACCGCCGCCTTTGTGTGTGACAATTGTACCGCGGATTCGGTGTCCGAACATTTGGTCTATGTGAGCATCAGTGAGCTCATTGAGCATCCAACGATCGTGAAGACCTTGGGCCTCAGCTGGGAGGAAGCCAGCTCCAGGGGGGTGAAAACGATGAAAACCTCCTGTGGATATGAGAACATACTTGTGACTCCTGTGGAAGGCTTAGATGGCATCCGGAATTTGAACCCCGGACTCGCGGAGGCGACGATCACTCCAATCCAGCTGTGGCATACGGTCATTGAGCACCTCAACGATTTCAATCTCTTTGCTATCAACTATGATTGGAGACAATGGGGCGATCTCACCTACATTGAACATTATGTGGAGAAGTTCCGCGAGAACATGGAGAATGCCGTGCGCGTGTCAAAGCAGCCCGTTGTGATCATCGCGCACTCCTTGGGTGCTCAGGTGCCCTGCCAGAACCCATCCGCATTGACCCGTTCGTTCGTAGGGATCTGTTTGTGTTACTCTAGTACGACGAGTAGCGAAAACAACATGTATACATATATTCCTTTCTTTCAGCCAGGTCGTCACAGTGTGTGCCAGGTCGTCACCTATATGATGGGCTTTCTTGGACCTGCTTGGACTCAGGCGCATGTGTCTGATGTGGTCCTCGTGGGCCCAGCGACGATGGGTTCTCCTTCGGTCTTTGCGGCCTATGCCAATGGCCCTTCCACCATCACGCACTCCACTGCGATCCCAGTGGTGAACTTCCTCGAGCAGCGGCTTCGAGACGTGGCCTCCACCTGGGCCGGCTTGCTGAGTGTGATGCCAACCACTATGGCAGGGATAGATCCCTTTGCTAGGGAAAAGATGGCTTCATCACCCCAGAGAAGTTATGGTGCCACGGACTGCGTGAGTTTTCTTCAAGATCTAGCGGCATGCGAGGATGATAGTGAAGACCTCATCCATGTCGATGATCACACACAGACGTGGCTGCAGGAAAATGACATCTTGAGCGCACCCCGAACTTGGACGAAGCAGTTCCAGAACGCAGCCGTCATGCGACAAGGCTTCGAACAACACGTTGTTCCATTTTTGAAGCCTCCCAATTGCCGAGTGCATGTGGTGTTCTCTGACGGGATTGACACCCTTACAATCAGTGAGTTTGAGAGCAACTTGTACAAGAAGGCCAAATTCACGCGCAGCGACAAAGGTGACGACACCATCACAGCCAAGAGCGTTCAGAACATGGTCACTGCCTGGAAGACAGCAGGCGTGCACATTCACACGCACAATGCAGGGAAAGTCCACCACAAAGATTTGATCATGTCTCCCTTTACCATGCGTGTGTTGGATCACGTGATGGCACAAGATGCGGCCTTTTTCGATTCCGACTCTGAGGAGAGCGAAGAGGGCTGGTGTACAGGATAAGAACTTTAGACTTGGCAGTCAGTCTTAGCTGATTGCCAGTCTTTCGGAAGTTCTCCATGTATCTTTGTATCTCCATGTCCTGTTGCCAATGTGCAGTCTGTGCTAATGCTTTATGATGGAGCCAGAAGCTAGGATATTTTGGCAATCGGCATTCGTTACTTATAAATTATCCATGCCCTGCTTTGAAGAAAACGGATTTGGGCAGCTCGCGATTTGCAAGGGGTTAGCACACTTTTGCACGAGCGTATAGTGCACTTGTATGTTAGTGTTATATTTCCATCGATTGTTAGGCTCGTTGCTGTGCGGGACGCAAACTGGATGCGATATGACCAAGAATCGTGCCCCAAGATTTGGTCCATGCAAGAATGTCCCTTCTCCGAAACAAGAGAGGAAAACAGGTTTCCAATGGTTTTTCCTCTTCATTTCATTTACATGTATTTGTTTTCCTCACTGGAAAGCCACCCCGTTTTCCCAGGCTCCTGACCGGTGCTGACCGGACCATGGGCGACGGAAGGCAGCCGGACATCGCCCCCAGCTTCGGAGGAAAAAGGCGCTGGGCGACTTTTTCTGAGTTTGTCACAGAAGCGATCTGATTTGCTATTGATTTGGGAACTGAGATCCAATGTCAATGTCACTGGTCGCAATGTTTCGGCTTGTATGGAATATTTGTCTTCACCTATAGGAATAAAAGGGAATGGATCCTGAGGTATCTACAGGTGTGGTTCAATCCCTACTTATTCAGTCAATCATGGCATGCCATTGACACTGGGAACTCTGAGGTTGGGGAGACAGTTGGCCTGGCCCTAAGAAATGGCTCATATGACGCAACCGAGAACTCCACAAGGTCTTGGTGAAGGATGGGCAAGATTTGGTTCTGATGTTTTTTTGGCAGTAAGCCATTAAATGTGTGTGTTTGTGCAGGAATCAATCACCAAGGTTGAGATGGAGAAGGAATTCTCCATTCAACCTGCTGCAGGAAAGTCAAGTGTTTGGCCACAGATCACATCATCATCGCAATCATGATAATCATAATCCTGATCCTCATACTCATCCTGATTCTGATCCTCCCCCTCATCATCATTGTCGCAGCTCAAGTCCTTGGGTGCATCCTGCCTGCGCACACTTCTTTGCCACAGGGTATCGAACACGCTACGAGAAATGCGTCTCCTCCAGGCGCGGTCGGGGCCGGGCCGGAGCGAGGACTCAAAGGATGGTGGAATTGATAATGTTTTGCAATTTTGCTAATTACATAGAGTGCCACGGGAAGACATAAGAAGTGGTCTCTCGTTTCTCGCCTTTGCTTCATAGCAGATGACCCCATCATTCGAATGATCCATTTTTCGGACTTTCTAACTGTAACCGCTGGAGTCATACTATCCCAGACACTCCATGTTTGGAATATGTGCCTACACTAAAATATGGTTTCAAGGGTCAATGTATAAACACTCCAGACATGGAGTCTTTGGGTTTTTGAGGACATTTCTTCCCCATTGGCGTGTTCTCACCACCCGCCGGTGAGAGCTCGCAGGACGCGCATCGAGGTGGTCACAGACGGCATCCTCGCGCGGCGCCTGCAGGCAGGGCGGAGCACCACAGCGATATCTGGGTGACTTAGAAGCTAATGGCGGAAACAGTGCAAGGGTGCTGCTAGATATCCTACCCAAGAAAAGTGGAAATCCATGGTAAAAAACCTCCAGTTCACCTTTATGTTGGGATTTTTCCCTCTAAACATGAAGAGGTGGACAGGGTTAACCTTTGTTTTCCAGCGAAACTGAGGGCGTGAGATAATGGGTTAACATCCCCCACAAGGAACCGCCTGGCAGGCTCTTGGTAGTGAATCTAGTGATGGAAAGGAGGTAATGGTACGTGTATAGCAAAAACATATATTACTTTTCACGTTTTTTAACAGACTCTTCTTGTCGCTTTGGATGTCCTCACCACAGATGGGGTCTGACCTAGACGCATGGGTCAATCTGGCAGAAGCCAGTAGAGGAATTATGCATTTTCTCAATCACCTGTACCGGTGAGTGTCCACCTCAGAGTGAATTATATAAAACCATCTTACATGGATTTAACTTGACAATGTAATTCCGCAATGACATTGCTCGGCAAACCTTGGCTCCAAACTAGAGCTGGCACAATTCTTTCAATTGTGTGTCATTGAGGTGCCTCGTTGATAATATGATGATTGTGCCAGGGTGCACTGGATTGCAGGTTTGTGAAAACTTTGCACATTGGTGTCTGCCGCCAAATGGCTCCTACGATATCCATGATACTGCGCTGGAGGTCATTGATGTAGATCTACACAGAATGGTCAATCTTGCTTAGATGTGATTATGTTTTAAATGTGCCTTTCGTCGTGCAATTCATAATGATTGAAGCTTTGGGCCAGACGCACGCTATAGTAGCCGTAGCCTGCCAAAGACAATCAAGGACGCGTATGCTTTGGTGTAGCCGGTTCCACCTTCTTTGGAGTCATGACTGAATTTACATAAACATCAAGTTCATAGCCTTTGCAAATGACAGCATGACAGCCACTCAATGTCACTTGCTGGAGCTATCAGTGCAGCGCTAATCTCGACCGTATTCGCACGTGGTACTTGGAAAGAAATGGTTCACGTCATCACAAGCGGTGGTCTACTTTGTGCGGTGTTTGGTGTCCTTCACAATTATTTGACTCCATGGAGAACTGTGCATGCTTAAACAGAACGTTCTGGAAGAGATGTCAGCGATTGCAGGTCAGGGCAACACTAAAATTTCCTGGGGTTGCTACCTTTTGCCTGCAAAAAGTATAGAAAGGCTTCACAGCTCAGACGTGAACCTTCTCAAACTAAATTAAAATTGTAATTCAATACTATTTCTGGTTTCCAATAGCTTCTTGTTCCTAGTAGTAAGGCCAGGAGCCCCTAGAAGCTTCTTTGCTCCTATTAGTATGGCCAGGAGCCCCTAGTAGCGTCCTTGTTCCTAGAAAAACGTTTTTGATCACAGCATCGGAGCTGCCTTGTGCGAGCTTTTAATCCAACCGGTGAGTAGAAAGGGTTGTCCTGGCTTGAGTTTCATACCACCCCGTGGGGCTTGCCTAGCTCCAAGGGCCAATCACATGGTAATGTCTCAGGTATTTCAGTTCCTGGTGTTTGTGCTGCTCTTGAGCCCTTGGGCATCTATGAAGCTTGGATGTGTGATTCGATCCACCTGAGAAACTCGAGAGAAACTGGTTGACTGGCGCCAAAATCTGTTGTTCTGGCGGTCTTCCTGAAAAAGCACACCTTTTCAGCACCACCTTTCTAGTAGGGTCTAAGGAGCCACGGATGCGTTCAGCCAACCACAGCATGATACAACTTCGCACCTTGTTCCATGCAATGAAGCCCAGGAGCAGATATCCCGTGACCTGGGGCGCTATCTCGAACTGGATGATGCATCCTTGGCGCTCTACGATGGCTTTTGCTTGCGCCGGAAGAAAGCCTGCATTCGCCTGCGTGTGCTGGATGGCGTGGCATACGTTTTGGATATGTTCCCAGGATATCAGAGTCGCCCCTCGAGTGCAGGATTGGCCAGGATGTTCTTTTGAACATGCAGAATCTAGCAGATCGCGAGGATATATTTCATCCTCCATTTGTTTAGCATTCCACGTCTTGTGATGCCTCTCCGAGCACGTTGAATCGGATCGGTTGAGAAGTTTCAATTTGCCAAAGGGTGGGAGCATGATTTCGAAAAGACAGGACAAACATGAAATGCACCGAGAATGAAGTTGCTTAGTTCATACATATTAAGAACACATATACTATAATATATACTTTATAATACAATACTGATATAATAGTATATAGACTAATGAAGAATGATATAATGTATACTAGAACAAAACTACAAGTTATAAGACGAGTTCTGAACGTGATTGCCAGACAAGTCCGTTCAAAGGGCCGTGCTGTTTCTACAAGTTCGATTAGTTATCAATAATGTGGAAACTCAGGGCCCTCCGTTGACAGCTTTTTCAAGAAAACCATCGAAGCCAGCTATTCAGCCAATGAAGGCCCGAGACGGTGTGGCCATGTGTGGCCAGAAATGAGCGGGTTCGATCTTGGCACACACGCAGAAATTAGAGCTTAGCAAGACACACCTTCGTGTTGAATTCGCAATATATAACACCAACGAAAACATGTGTCTAAATTGGAATTCGCTTGGTCAGGACAGCTTGCGGAATGCATGGGATCCTCCTCAAACCAGTGTCTACCCCACCCAGATTTGGAGGTGCCTTCCAACGCTGGGAGACGTTGAGGCCACCGCAGCACTCTCCACGCTCTGGCACGGGTCCTGGCGCGCTTCGGGCCGCTGCCGAACCTGGAGGCCACAAAATTCCAACGAGCCAGGAGATTTGTGTTGGGTTGTTCCGTCGGGGGAGTCCAGGAAGCCTCCGAACTCGGAAGGGGGGGGGTTCGTTTTGGGGGATAGCAGGTGCGCTCTGCATGTTTGCACCCCCGACATCCTAGAAGTGTGGGGCATTCGATGGTCGACATACCACAGCAGGATTTAGACATACCGTACCTCATGTTTGAGGGTGACTGGAGACACTGAGATAGAGGATTCTTTTGCATTATGGTCCGGCGAATTTGAGTTAGACTCTAAGATACAACAACCTGAAAGGACATGGTTCCTTTGAACTTTCATTAAGGTACGGTTCACCTTACGGCATGATTCTCAGGTCACGTGGGTTCTCTAAGACTTCCACACGAGAGCCTACCTAAGACCTACAAGTTAAAACACACAGCTGCAGCAAACACTAGATCAGAAGCTGTTTTTGCTCACGCATGCCTTTGCACGTGTAGTTCTCCACAGTCGGCCGACCAACATCCACAATACGTTCAGTTTGTGACCACATGTTTCATGGCGATGTAATTAAGAACATGTTGAACTGGAAGAACATGTTTGGTGTGTTTCATGTTTGATGATGTGTTTGCTTTGTTCTCACTTTTTTGCAGACCCCTGTTTCACGGTGATCGGTTCGGGATGCAAACCCACTAGATCTTTTGAACTGGAAGAACTGCATATAATATGTATTGTATATGTATATAATATACACTGTACACCTTACTGTAGCACCATTGTTCCAGAATTTACTCAACAGCCGTCCTTCAACTGTTGTCTAGACATCTTCAACAACACACAACGTGTTGATTGATAAACCTCCGATACATCAATGGCCAACAATCTCCATATGGGATGCTTTATCAATCAAGAGTGAACACCACAGTGATGGTCTTTTCTGATTCAGCCAAACCTTGATGCCGAACTTGGAACTGTCACTGCCTACAGGCTTAACAAGTTAAGGGTGACCCAGGACACGTCTTAACAGATTGTTGACCTGTTCGTGATGCACTTACCTCTGATGTCTACTGTTCCACATACTTAAGCTGCATACTTAAGCTGGACATCTGACGCCTAAAATGGGAGGATTGAGTGTACTCCATCCGAATGCATTGTGTCCATACCAAAACTACAGAAATATAGTAGTATTATAGATATTGCAGAAACACCCTCTCAAGTTCAGAATACGGCTCATGTCACTTTGTTTCATTAGAGAGAGCCGTTTTCAAGGGGTGCTCATTGGTGTTTTCTGGTTTGGGTTGAGATGGCTAAGACGATGCATATAGATATGTGTGGGAGTCGTGCAAGAGCGATGTTCTGATCATTCAGCTCCTGTTCCAAGCGGTCACGGGGGCAATGCACCCGTGAAGAAAGGCTGGGCCTATACTACTAGAGACTATAATCGACTGTACCTATGTGTATTATGTACTGCATAGCGGTTGACTTGATGTAGTGATAAGGTGGGAGCAGAATGCCCCCGGTGTTGAGGCTTATAGCAGGGCAACAAAACAATGACTTCGAGTCAGCATCCTCATCACTGTCTCCGGTAGCGAACCACCAAGGAATTTTACCCTGTTCCCCCCAAGTACCTTCTGAGAAGGTGTTAGAGGTGCGTTTGGATGGTCCAATTACCTTCTGAGGAGGTGCTTGGAACCCTAGGGTTTTAGCGACTACTGAAGGGAATTTGGTGAACCTTCTCGCTCGGAGCCGGAGATGGTCACGAGCTTGCCAATCCTCGTCACGATGTCACAGGTGACAATCGATGTCACAGATGGTGAGCTGCAGAAGATCGATTTGCCGATCTTGGTCATCACTCACAAGAAGGAGGAGTAGTGAGTAGAGCAACCCCAAGTTGAGCCATGGAGGTTGAAATTAATTACTCATTGGGAATGTATTTATCAAAGTTGTCGATGTGACTATGTGACACTAAAACGTAGGAATGTGTATGGCTTCAATCCTCCAAAGTGGGTTTGCCACATGTTCAAAGGGAAAATGGCCGAACCTCAACACCTTGATTGAGGGAGTACCCTGACTGTACAGGCCATGCTTACTCCTGGTGGCCTGGGGGAATCCACTTCTTCCCAGGAACTGTTACATCCACTGTTGGATGATGGGGAAGAGGTGTGGGCCATGCTGAACCACGTTGTGTCAGAGGCTTTGGAGGTTTGGAAAGTCTCCACCAATCCGGTTGGATCCTGTCAAGCTTCAAGCTTCCCGGCTGGAACTGGTTTGCATGCTTCTAGCACGGGAATGCACTTCGAGCGCATATCCAACCATGAGAAAAGTACAGATTCTGTCATCAAGTTCCAACAAAGCTGCGTAATTTGTGACGCTTTCGAACAAATGCCTTCAACCCTCATCAAACGAGTGAAATCTCACCATGTTGGACTGACCCACCACCCCACCGGCCGGATGGGCCATCAGGAGCCTCGAGGGATTTTGTATCCAGACTTCACATTCTATTCGTGGCCAGAGAGTAGCTGCCCTCCTGAGACCTCTCACGACTACAGCCGCTAGCCGAAACGCGGGGTAGCGCTAGCCGAAACGCTGCCGGATGAAGTGGGTGTTTTTGTTGTCTAGCATTTGATTGATGAGTTCGTCAGCGGAGGCGTGGGGAGTCACTGGGATAACCGTGAGTTATTCAGGATGTGTTGAGCTTAGTGTGTTTTAGGGTGCATGGCATATCAAGCCATCCTTTAGACCAGAATCAAGGTGTCAAATGTCATTGAATTGATGCCATGCCATGACATATAGTTGTTGGATGTTGTTGGATTTATTGCCCTTTGTTTGCCTGTGCCATTCTGTGCTTAGGTTACCTCTTTCAGAAGTTTAAGTCTTGGCATCATCGCTATGCACCGCCATGCCGGCACGAGTTGGCACAAGCTGGGAAGAACAAAAGCACGAACAGCGGAGTGTTCGAAGCAGGTGTTTGGTGTGACTCAAAGTACCTCGTACCAGGTGACCAGTTGATCATTCCTTGACTTGCAGTGAATAGGATGTTCACACAATTTCACACATGTAACGTGGGAATGCTGTCACCAGACTTACATGGAATTACCAGTAGGGATGGTGATATTGCATTGTTGGATGCATTGTCGGTTGAATGTCGCACAGCATGTGGAAGAATTGGCGAATGGGTTCTTTGCCAATCTTCAGCCTGCGTCGCAGTGATTATGTATTCAGCACTTTGCTAGTTGGTGGTCGCCAGATTAAGATAAAGCACCATGATGTTCATTTGCCAGGTGGCAGAACCGGAGCGATCTGGTTTTCTGGCGCGGCGCCCCTGTGGACGACGAACGGGCACGAGAGAAGGTCGTGCAGCGCTTTCAACGAGTTGCATGGCATGGTGAGCGAAACGAAATCGGATGTGGATCGCGTTTGTTGTCGACCCAGGGAGTGGTGACTTGTGAGTTGCAATAAGAAGAGTTGGGCTCTGGTGACTGGTGACTGGTGAGTTGTTTGGTTCTTCTTGACTGGTTACGGTTAAGAGGTCCTTTTGAGTCTGTAGCTGGATGTGTCTCGTAGAGAATCGGCACACTGGGAAACATCGAATATTCGTCGAATCTGAAGGTAGCTTTCAGCTTGGCTACCGGATGCGGATGTGATTTCCTTGGACTTTCTACATTGACATGTGGGACCCTCCAACTTTATAGACATGTTGTTTTCAAGTCCTATATTCTTGACGTGTGATCGTTGCCATATTATGCTCTATCAAACTCTGTGCTGTCGCCAGAGAAAGAATCTCTGAACCCTCAGATTCGGGTTCTTGTGTGTCAAATGCCTAGGAAGTGGAAAAATCAGATGTGAAGTTCATGTCGTGGATGCTTGGCAAAGTTTCCAGGTTAGTTTGCGTTAATTGAGTCCTGAGCCAGTCCGAATTTCAGAAGTCCTGGAAGTGATGCAGAAATAGAGGCTGAAATAAAGGCCTGTGAGTCATCATGAGCCTCATTTGGCCATCAATGTTGGTCAGGCAACGGATGCAGCTGATGTTCTGCTTCGTACCGTCCATCCTCACCGAGGAAGGTGGTCTCCTCGACAGGCCTCAATGAGGTGCAAGGCTGGGGGTCCGAAGAAAGGCGGCGGAGGCGTGTGAAGGCCCAGAGAATCCACCATGAATCCACAGTAGTCCACCAACTAATGCACCATTTGATGGAACACCCGCTGATGAGACCCATCACCAAGCGACAGAATCTCAGAGTTCGATGCAAGTGTGGCCGATTTTTTGGAAGTAGTTCTTCAAGATGAGAGGGCATGGCTCGCACCAAGAAGTGCTAGTAAATCAATGTAAGTCACTATTTTGTGGCAGTACGAGATGTTTTGATCATGATCCAAGTGATCCATTTCCTGACCAAGACAATCGATTGGTGGCCGGGCTTTGACCGGATCAACAGCTGGCACGATTTCACGTGGCCAGGCTGCGTTGGCCTCTTGGAGCAATGCCAGTACCGCTACTTGGCCTTCTTGGCAGGCATCCATCAGTCGATGTCCGTGTCGGGATGAGGGATGAGAGATCCAGCTGACTCACAGCTCAAACATGTCACTCGAAAAATTGCAGACTCTCCTCTCAGCGGCGCAAAGAAGGCTTGAAGACTCCGCCATTGCTTGGGGGATCAATTCAACGTGTCCTTTCCCAAGTTGACCTATTGTTGAAGGAGAGGGGAAGCTTGCATGTTTTTTTCCGGGTCCTGAAAAAAAGAAAACACAACTTATACACTGTACCACATTGATATAATATATATATATATACTTCATCTACTTCTGAATCATGAAGATTACTGTTTTCCTCTCTACAGGGCCCTGCAAGCTGATCAACTCCGCCACAATTTGCGGCAAACATCAGCACTGTGCCAGGAACCACGTACTCTTCCCGCATCAAATACCAGCTGCTTTGTGGTTCTTTGGTCTTGGCTCACGAGCCCCGATGCTTGGCCGACGTCGTCTGCCCGGATGGCCTCCAACCGTTCGTAGCGTCCGATCGCTCCGTTCGTAGCGGTGCCCGGTGCCAGGAGCCCCTACAGTATATAGTAGCTCCTTGCTCCTAGTAGCCAAACTGGTGGTTTTCACTCCACTTCCATGACTTCATGGAGTCCACTTGCTTCGGATGTTTTGGCTCACGGAGGCCCACCTGTCGGACAGTCTCAGGGCATGCCAGCCTTTGGAAAGTGGTAAGAAACGAGGGATGGAACCATAAAACATCATAAAACCCTTAATCTCCATAAATTGGCCAACATGAGTTCAAGCCATGGAGCACTGTTGCGGGAAGGACTATTTAGCTATGTTGAACTCTTATGAACTCTTCACTTTCAGAGAAACCGACGTCTTTGCCTCCGCATCCCTGGTTTTCTTCAATGGTGGAGTGTGAAGACCGTCACGAAATGTTGCGTTCATATGACGATTATCTCAAGTCTTCATTCGTCTTCATTCTTCAGGCAGGCTGTGAGAAATCACACCAGTCTAATCCAGTCTAATCACATGTCACAAGTTGAACCATTTCGACGGCGGCCGCATCTGGGCATCATTTTTATGTCAGTCCTTGGGCAGAATGCGGTTGTGCCGGTCGGGAAGCCACAAAACGGTGGCGGATAAGGATTCATTGAGTGGTGGAGTCACCTGCTTTTGCCCGGTGTCCACTATGCACCAGTGCCTTGGCGTGTGTCGAAATGGGAAAGGTTAGAAGGGACAATCTCCAAGGTGGCCCCACAGGCAAGAAGGCGCACCACCTTTCGAGGGTTGTGAGGAATTTTATTGCATCATATTGCATCAATGTTTGGTTCAAATCTGTTCCTCAGGATCGTCAGCTTCCAAAAACCCCGACCTCCGGACCACCGGGATCGCCACGGACCCGACCACCGGACAGGTCATGCGGGTCACGCGGGTCACGCGGGTCACGTGGGTCCTGGGAGGTGCAATCCGATTGGAGTGACGTGTCGGTGATGATGGAGCTTTTGCGTCGGCAAGAGACACAAGCGAGGAGAACAGCTCGGGTGGGGGCAAATTCAGCTCGGTGAAGCTGTCAGGTTAGCTTTGATCGTGTTTACTTGGAGAGAATTGGTCCTGAAGAAACAGCATGTTCTTTCGACTGACTTCTCAGCTGACCAATTCCAATAATAGATGCAAGATCCTGCGAATGGTACACCTCCTAGACACTAAACAACCAAGTGGTTTGTGCAATTCATACTAAGTCAGGTTTTGACATACACCAGACGCACCATGTGTCATGCACGTACCTGCGGGTGCTGCACACCTGACTTGTGTGAACTGGTACGATATTTATGTGAACTGGATCTGAACTACAGCGGTCCCCCACTGAGTGAAGATACAGTGGTTATTTCAGATAGCTTCAGGTAGTATCAAGTAGTAGAGAGAGGGCAAAAATTGCGCACATTTGCTGCCTCACAGGCGTTTTTGCGTTTCTACTAGTTCAAGCCAAGTCGATGGGCAATTTCAAGGCCGGCCAAAATAGGCCGTTTAGCTCCCGCCAGATTGCTGCGGCAGTGAGGAGATTAGCACGTCAAGGCCAGCGACTGGCACAAGTGGCTTTGTCCCCCACGGCGGTGGATTGAATCTTGATGGCGAGACGTTCGGCACGCCACATAACGCGGCATGTCACGTCCATTGGGCCGTGGGAATTTACACTCTTTCTCTTCATGGATAACTAGACAATAAGCATAGCCATAGCAGCATAGATGAGTTATGATGTTAGTCCATCATGAATCATCTCATCATTCCCCAGAGTGGAGGAATGATCCTTTGACAGAAGATTGTGATTTTGTATTGATTTTGTTTATATATATATACAATTATATACATGTATATATATATATGTTGTCGGTTGATGCGTTGTTTTTGTTGCCTGGCCTGAAGTCAGGAGAGGCAGACACTGCAGAAGTTGCATTGTGTGTGTGCATTGGTTTGGCAGTTCATACATGTCCGATTCCAGCTTAGAGCGTACCAATTCGAGAGAAGATTGCTCTTGGTTCCCTACCAAGGATCATTCATGGTTTGGTCGGTGATGCGGCTCGAAACATCATCAACACAATCATATACTGTAATGAGCATGAGCACTAATAATGAGCTATTATATTGAATTTCGACATGTTTGGACTGTTCCGACTAATGCACAACATCATAATGAGTACAGTAATGACTTGCAATCAGCATACTTTTGGACTGTTCAAAGATGTTCAAAGCACTTGCTGCCTACACTGCTTTGCATCATACATGAATTGGGAAATGTGAAGTGGTTCATAAACACCAAGCACCAGGAGTCGTGATCTCATTGAACATCCCTATAGTCCTGAGTCTTTTTGCACGTGTCTCATGGCACAAAAAGATTCATATCATTGCTGAGGCTATTGGTGGAAGCTCTTGGTGATGAGTGCCAAAGTGTTGCCATACCCAACTGACACATTGTCGCTCGGCCTAAAAGAGCTTGACAGATCTTGATCCACAGCATCCAGGTCGTGTAGACAAAGGACGTCGATTCATGAAGTGGAATGACTTTGTCATATCCTCAGTGACTTACGTAGCTAGCGTATCTGGAGGATTTGGTCCTGAGATGTCCAGGCACTAGGCACACACAGACACACACGCACGCGCGTGCTTGGTGGTATTTTGTTTTTCGGGGCCGATGGCTAAATGGGAAGATGGAGATGATTGACCCGGACAAGCCAGCTACTTCATGAGAAGGTCATCATAGATCAATCATGGTAAATCTTTGTTTCATAATAGATTACCATTGATTATGTATTACACTGCATTCATTCCGTTGTTTTTACCGCCTTTCTCACTTCTAGCATTACCCTGTGACAAATGGTGTTTCTTTCCCAAAAGAACTTCCGCCGAGGCCACCGACCGCCCGACCCTTGGAGGATGCTTTGCTGCTGCCGGAAGACGCAGTGCTCTCATCTGAGAGTCTTGGTCCGATGGCGGGGCCCGGTTGGGGTAGGTTCGGATCGCGATCACAAAGCCCCCAAGCAAGGCTTCCTCCTTTTTCTGGGGAAAGGGAGGAACTTGGGTTTCCTTTATGCTTCAGGTAGGGCTCTTTGGGATAAGGATCAGCCCCCACGAACAATGATGAGCTTTTTGCAAGCGAAACAGTTTTGTGGATGATCGCTTCAGACACCACACCCACTGCAAACATCAGCAATTATGAGATCGTTTTGCGGAGCTGGAACTGCTTCTGAAGGAAGATGAGAGAAGCATTACTTTGTCCCCAGCCACAAATGATTACTGACTGAGGAGTGACCATGCAATGAACACAGTCAGATGTTGAAGTCAAGTCGTTGTTGCATTTAGCTTTGTTGTGTTTGTCCCTGTTCATATATATATATATATTATAATACAATGACAATGTATATAATACTTTGGCTCTTCTTTGAGCCTCCTATTTCTATTGTTTTTTGGATGTGGATGTGGTGGCTGTTGCTGCTGCTGCTGCTGCTCCTGCGGCCTCCACCAGTCCTGGTGCTGCTCACTGATGAACCACATGAATCTTCCACAGGCTCTGCAGGAGGATTACGTCGTAAGGTAACAAAATGTCACCGGTTGCTTGGGGGTTCCTTGCTGGGTTCTGAGCTCGTTCACTCGCGTCTTCCTATCTCCTTGCAGCTCATATGGTTTTCATCTGTTCATTGCATTGCAGGCTGCTGCCAACTGCAAGCATTATATAATGAACTCAGTGCAGACGCAAGCATAGCGAACTGTTTGCATTTGCAACTGGGAGAAGGTATACAAATGACATCAAATGACATTCGGTACAAGAATGATCGGGTTTGGTCACTGCTGAAGAAGCACATAGCCGAGCGGATCGGGGTGTTTATGTTGGATGATTGCAGGTAGGCGGAGGTTACTGTGAGTTGCAGGATGAGGATCTTATGACGACTTCAAACGCCAAGCAGTCGGTGATCGTTCAGACGGACAAATAGATCAACACATCTCCAAGAATTGACCTCCAAGTAAAGGTTACTGTGTTCTGGGGGCTTTGGTAATGTGATCCACAAGTTCGATGAAGCAGTGTAGCGGTCATCTAGAATGACAGTGAACTCTGGCTTGATGCGGAAATCGAGCAGATTCGAGCAGTGTCCAGCCTTACAGTTTGTCCCAGTGACTCGACCATCGGACTTGCGGTCGAGGCACGGCCTGACGGGCGGGATCCCGATGCATCTGCCGCCCAAGCGGGAGACGCAGGCGGGAGCGCGAGACGCGTCACATGAAGTTCCGGAGGTGGCCGAAGGACGAAGGACATGTTTGGCGGTTGAGTGCAGGAATTGTTTGATATGCAGTACGTTTAAGTGGTTTGTTTCTTGATTGAAGTTTTAAAATATTTGGAGGGTTAGAGATGTTAGAGGTCGAGTTGTGTTTTGAGTTGCCTGGCAAAATGAAGTTGAGGAGTGTATGGAAGATTGGTGTTTGCAGCCTCCAGCAAGCTTTGAGGTTGGTTTTTATTGTTTAGTTGCAGCTACTTGGGAAGGCAGACACCATGACCATGAAGATCCTGTGGTCGGTGGTGTCAATTGTCTAAGCCCTTCCTGGAAGACTGACATTGTTCGAACAATTTGTCATACCAACGCTCTACATTTGGCATGCTGTGATTTTGTCCTTGTCTTCTAGTTTCATTGCCAAAGTCCCGCAATTCGTCGTGGACAATATTTTTTGACTGCCACTAATTTGTTTTGTAGTCCTTTCAACCTGTTGTTCTGTTTTCCATGTTGTTTGTGGCCCACAGTGGTGAACCATGGTAACATCCGTGTAAAATCCCACCGATCGAGGATCACCTCGCCTCACGGTTTTCTCAGGATCCCAGTTGCTTCGGGAACGGCCGCAGGTCGTGGTGCGGATGGGGTGGAAGAGAGGGGGTTCTAATTGATCGGGGTGATGGATGTTTATGCTCATGCTGTTTATTCCGAAAGGTAGGATGATCAATTCATACTCCAGAATCCATCAGTGCTCTGGAACTGTTTGACTGTTGATACAAAGGAATGAGATGCTGACAGGCACCACACACTTAGCGAAACTTTGACCCTTCATTGGCCACTCTTTTTGCACTTGTTGTTGCAGTAGTGGCTGAGATCTACCAATCCACTACCAAACTAGTGATGGAGCAATGAGCTCTTGGTGCACGAGCCTTTGACTGAACAAGCACTCCACTCCTGTCGTCGAGACTGTCGAGCTCACGCAGAGAATAGCTAGACTGACCGACCAACTGGTGATGCGTACAACGAACAGCCCAAGTTCTTCGCGGTTTTTTAGTATGCTAAGTTCGAGCCGAAGCCAAGAATGTCTTTTCAGCCTAAGCTGCCGCCTTCGCAGTTGGGAAACATGCTGCGATCCCTACACTTTTGGGGCGCTTGGAAATCAGGACCCAGGGGACCCGCGCTAGGATGGATCGGAAATCAAGACACATCCAGACTCAACCGATAACACCAAGAAAAACACCTCATAAATAAAACAAACGACCTCTCAAATGCATAGATTTTCCGGTAGGTTCATTTATATTTATTTATATATAATGATATACACACATATATATATATGTTCTACTTGTTTTTTTTGTTGAATATATTATATGTTGTATTATGTTATATTTGTTGTTGTTGTCTTTTTTTGTGAGATTTTATTTGATTATTTGTTCTCTGAGTGTGGTTTTTGAGTTTGTTGATTGATTCTTTGGTTGCCTTTTTCATTGATTCTTTGTCCTGCATTGGAGCGGTTGTTTCGGCTCCCTACGCAGTGTGCGATGCCCGAAGATCAGACTGGGCCTGGGCCGTTTGTGATAGCCATTTCATTTGCATTTGAGAACAGACCCTGAATCCACAGGCTGCGTTTGTGGCGTTTTCTGACTCACAGACATTCACATCGTGTTGCACTCCAACCCCGTGCAACCCCGTGCACCTCAAGTTCGAGAATCCAAACTCAGAGTTTGATCAGCTTGACCGTCGTTTCCAGGACTGCTGGCTGCATTTGGCCATGGAGGAGCAAGGAATCCTTCACGAGGCACTGGACGAAGTTACACCCAGAAATGTGGAGCTGTGTTGGCTCACGCGCAGCCCGCGCTTTTGGGGGAGGCAGCCCTGGGCCCATTGCCATCATGTGCTTTCGGCGTGAAGAACGCCTGGGAGCCGTTTTAACCTTGTGCGCTGTCGCAGGTGGATTTGGATGCCTTCTTCGCGAGATGTTGCCATGGTGGCTGAATGAAAAGGAGTGGTAAGGGACCAGTGAGACCAGTGACCACTTGATGTTCAGACCTTTGCTGGGCCTGTTCTTGTGAGGTTTTTCTGCAAAGTGAACAAACAAGCCGAAGCCTTTGAATCAACAAATCAAACCTTTTGGTCAGGCCTTTTCGTGAATTGAATCAACAAACCAAGAAAACAATGCCTTTTCCAGCTGCTGTGCGCTAGTTCTACCAATTGAAGGTTTTTGTTGCTCAAGAGCCAGGTGAGGGGCTTTCTACATCACTGTTTTCGGAGTCCCTGCATTTGCACAACACCCATTTGGCAAAACACATCAAGGAGGACTGTCACCTTAGTGCAATTAGCTGGTGAATTTGGTAGCCCCACGTTTTTGTGCTGCGGTGCAATCCAAAGATCTGATCGCATTGGAGAGAAAATGCCTCGGGACTAGACCAAGAATTATTCATGTCCGATTAGATCGAATGGTGAATCCTGCTTGTTTGGAACTCTAGTAGATGCCATGGAACTATCAACACTTGGGCACAAGGTACTCGTAAGAAGTCCTGTTGTGTGAGACTCCCTCCGACCATGTTGTCATGCACCAACCATTGAATCAGATGAGCATTCAGGTCTCCAAAGGAATTCACTGAACTTCAGATGAAAGAACGATATGATATGAGGTGCTTCGCGATAGATGGGCCAATTGAGATTGCAGTATGCTGTTCATAAAACCCGCAACTCTGGTTGACGATGTCAACCTGCTGTGATGTGGGTTTCCACTGGCTCAAGAGTCATCGCTTTGTAAGCACCCCTTGACATTCCGGTAGGGTAGGGTCCCAGGGTAGGGTCGGAGTAGTATACAGTGGAAGACAGTACCAGGATGTACCAGGTATATCCATAAATCATCTAGAGTCCACCTTTGTAGCTTCTTGTTCCTAGTAGCTACTTGCTCCTAGTGGTACGGCCAGAAGCCCCTAGTAGCGTCCTTGCTCCTAGTAGCGATGCCAGGAGCCCCTAGTAGCGAGCATTGTTCCTATAATCAACGGATCTCTGACGGTCACAATAGCTTATTGTTTCTACGTTCGCTTCTTGTTACTACTAGTAAGGCACTTGTTACTACTAGCTTCTTGTTACTACTAGTAAGGCACCTGTTACTACTAGCGATGCACTTGTTACTACTATAGTTGGCAAAGGTTTTCACAAATGTTTCAGCGGGGATCATTTCTCGCGTCTTGATGGGGCTGTGTGGCACCATGATCTTTGATTTTGTGTTTCATTCTCAGATTTGGTTTAAGGGACAACTTACGGGAAACCAATAGTTTTGGGGCTGAATACAGTGAATACCACGGTTTCCTGTGAGATTCCCTTAACATAATCCATTTGAATCATGAAAACTATTGCATCCGGACCCTTTCCGAACACCGGGCCGTCTTTTTTGTGGCGCGCCCGTACTCAGTGCTCGGAGGGGTGGGTGGGATCACCTGGCACAAATGGCTTGGATGATCTGATAGAAAATACATTTTCAGCTTCTTCAGGGGGGTGTATAAACCACCCTGTGGTGCTGGAATTGTTTCGTTGTTTTGATATGTTTTGTATCGTTTTCGGTGGATTTGGTATGACCGGTGGCATTTTCTACCAGACGCATCTGGTTGTTTGCACATGTTTGCACACTTCATTCCTGGATGGTCCCGGTGTTCGGTACCTACAACCCCAACACATGTTCTCTTCCCGCACCCACACAAGATGTGGTTTCAGGTTGTGCTCAGGTACATGATGGATTCGCGAGTTGTTGGTGGTAACTTCCAAACCCGATTGATTCATAGTTCTCGCGCAGGCCGACGGTGCTTTGCCCAAGACCTCCGCTGTGCTTTTCGATGAGTCACTTGGATCTGTGGAGTTCTCCCTGCGGCTGTCGTCTTAGCATGAAGCAATCCTGTCAGTTTGTTGCCTCATTTCCATCAGCACACAGTGCAGGCTCACAACAAAACCTCATCACTGGATTCTCATGTTGCCCACTTGGTCCCAATGTTTTTCCCGTAGAAGCGCGGACGAGGGTCAGACCCAGTGTTGCTGAAAGGAAGACGAGGAAACTGAAGAACTTCAGGCGAAACAGGAGGAAGGTGAGGTGAGACGAAGAGCTGCAAAACCCCGGCTCTCAGTAAGAAAATACAGCAAAACGGCAACTATAGTGCAAAGGTTTGGTGGCGCAGGGTGCCCTAGTTCGATCGTAAGGAGACCGAAGTGTATCACTATAGAGGCTGTAAAGGACTCACGGCACCAAGAGAAAAGCATGCAAGGGAACAAGGTTCCCAGTGAGAAACCCGAGCTTGAGTAGAGGTGCCAGAACATACAAACTACTACATGACCAAACTATTCCAACGAGCACCAACTGCAGTTAGACGACAACCATGAACCTATGAAAACCATTGATCACCTAATAACCGATAACCTATTGTTCATATCACAAGCTTGTTACCAAACTGAACTTAGCGAACATTGAACATAACAATTGTTCTTAAGGGCTCCCCGACAGCTCCTGTGTAGATTGAGATTTGGTAACTGGATCCTTTGTGAAAGGTTTTGAGTTAGGATACTAGCCTGTTAAGAGATCAAAATTATAGGACCGGATAACCCCACGTGTTAGCAACTTAGCAAGAGAGAATGTCTGCGTAGGTGGTTGGTGACAATTGGTGGGTGGCAATTGGTTGGTGTGACAATTGATTGATGACAATTGGTGGAGGACCATGTTTAAAAAAAACAGCGCCTCAAACATAACCCTTTCAGAAGGGGAAGAGACCCACCAGCACCGGCCAGCACCAGCCAGCACCGGGCCCGATCCCCTGGAGAAGACAATTGGTTGATGACAATTGGTTGGCGACAATTAGTTCATGACAATTGGTTGGTGACAATTGGATGGTGGAAACTTGTTTGTTGTTGACAATCGGTTGGTGACAATTGGTTGGTGACAATTAGTTGGTGGCAGTTGGTTGGTGACAATTGGTGGGTGGCAATTTGTTGGTGACAATTTGTTGGTGACAGTTGGTTGGTGACGATTGGTTGATGACAATCGGTTGATGACAATTGGTTGGTTACAATTAGTTGGTGGCAATTGGTTGGTGACAATTAGTTGGTGGCAATTGGTTTGTGGCAAGCGGGAGGCGAGAGATCTTGGACCTATGTTGGCCCATCTTGGGGCTATGTTAACCCATCTTGGACCTATCTTGGGGCCTCTGTTGGCTCATCTTGGGGTGCACTTTGCGCCATTTGCGTTGACACGGGCCCATCACCCAAAAAGATCTGATTATGCACGTCCGCGCGGTGCGCATTACCGACACCACCCTTGTAAAACCCACAGTTTGCACACTGTCCAAATTTTGGATCTTCCAAAGCCCTATAAAACACAGTGTTTTTGAACACCACGCACGCAAATCACAGCGGCACAGCGGCGGAGACCCACCAGCACCAGCCAGCGCCAGCCAGCGCCAGGGCGTACATCCGACCCCCTGGAGAAGACAATTGGCAAGCAAATCATCGGTTGATGACAATTGGGTGGTGACAATTCGTGGATGGCAGGTGGTTGATGACAAGTGATGACATGACAATTGGTTGATGACAATTGGTTGATGACACTTGGTTGATGACACTTGGTTGGTGACAATTGGTTGGTGACAATTGGTTGGTGAAAATTTGTGGTTAACAATTGGTTGGTGACAATTGGTTGGTTGGTGACATTTTTTGGTGAGTGGTTGGTGAGAAGCGAGAGGCGGGAGGAGGAGGAACAAGGAGCGGATACCACACAAAGAACAAAAAAACACACGTCAATGTGGGGAACAAGTTAAATTGAAGTAAGTCGACCGACTGTTAAGCGTAGGATGTATAGATTTTCTGCCTGGGATCTCTGAGGTTCCACGAGCGAAGCCTGGGAAATGATATTGTCTCTTGGTCAAAAGCGATGGCCAAACGAGCGCAGGGGAGTCATGTGAACAAACTGGCCTCCTAGGCCTTCACTTTGATCCTTCATGCACAAGAAGCCAGGCGCTCGTAGAGAGAAGGGGGGTCGGAAGAGATGAACTTGCTTCGTACAGAGCAGGGGTTGCCCAAATTGATTGTGACGGGAGAAAGCATGATGCTGTGGAAGCAACTATTTTTCACAGCTATATATATATATACAATGCATATATATATATATATATGTATATACAGTATCTCTTTTATCATGATGCTAAGGAAGCAGGGGGCTGGCTTGTAGTTTGGGTACAGACTAGATGTTTCAAGCGATATCCAATGTGTTTGGACACCTTCGTCATTTAGTTTAGGGCTCCACAAGATTAAGTCAAACATATAGACGTCATCACCAGTACGCCCTGATATTGGTGCTCAAATCGTCCAAACGAGAGGCGGCTAGAGAGTCTAAGACTCGGCTTAGACATGTGCATGGGGATGAGCAACCGTGAACTGTTCCATAATTCCTATGAAACAAAGTAGGGCAGAAACCCATTTTTATGCGAGGGGTTGCACAGCTAGGAACCATACTAGGAGGATTGACCAAACGTCAATCAAGTTTTTTTTTGTCCGGTGCAATGTTCTTTCCCAAGTTAAAAACACCATAGATTGGCAGGCGCAGGTGTTTGGATACAATATTGTACAATGTAGACATCCAATGCTGCGCAATACTGGATATATATATCTGGAAATATTTGAGAGTAGCCTGTTTGCTTCCTTGTTGATCCGCATCAAACTAATAAATTGTAATGAAGGTAATTTCTACATGACCACTTGTTCTCTTGGGTAACACAAAGAATATTATTTGACATGATAAAGAGCCATGTTGGATTCCAATTCTCACCAAATTATGTGCCAGTGTGTCTTAGAATGGGGATACCCACAAAAACACACATGGGAAAATGAGAGGTTATCCATGACTGCACTTTGGCCTTTCAACAGAAACACACACACACACACACTTACACAATCATCCTTCCTGTCGTCATGTTGGTTCATGTTCACTTCCATGTTCTCCTTGAATGCCTTTGTTTGAGGCGTCACAAAGGGCTGCCGGACTTGCGGCTTGTGGCAATGAGCTCCTGGGCAAGGTTTTATTTGCCGTGCATTTTGCAGGTGAGCTGAGCTACCTATAGGGGCGAAAATGGCCTAGATATGTAGAACCGGACATGCACACACTTTGTTTGGTGATTTGGATACACACATGCGGTTGAGTGGTGCGTTTTGGATATGGTGTGTTTGGGACTTTGCTTTCAGCGGATTTGGATACGTGGGGGTTTGGAGATGCCGACCCATCGATTTGTGCCTTCAATGGATCGGCGAGGTGAGCCTCAGTCCAACCCCTGTGAACATATTGACATTCCGGATGAAGATCAACGAGTCACAATAAAGAAAACTCATATCATTTGCATGGTTGGATGCGTCTGGAAAACAACAAGCTGGTAATTATCCTGGTACGAATCCTGGTACAATTCGTTGCCGGCGTTTTCTTGACCTTACGTGAATCAGAACTGGCTCGCGAGGTGCCACTTTGAGCGATCGCCTAGCCAGCAGGTGGGGGTGTCCCAAAAATTTTGAATCGCCAAGTGCAATGGCAGTGAAAGAACATTAAAGAACAACGGACTGGAAACAATACACTCCCTGGAAGTATCAAGGAAGTGGATGGCATGGACCCCCTTGGATGACCATGTTCCTCTACGTTGGCTTTCCACTTCCATGAAGATTCCAGGGAGGTACCCTCAGCCCTGCCATGCAAGGTTTTGAACTGCATGTTGTGCCCAATTTGTGTGTCTGATTTGTGCATGAAGCCTTCATGTGTTGAATTACTCATGTCGGATGACATCTTATGATTTTGTTGATGTTCCCAAAAGATATTTTATTTGTCAGCGACCTTTCGGGAGGTTCAAGAACTCCGTTGACCCAACTCCCTTCGCTCCAGTCGGCAGGCTCTCGGGGCTGCTGGGCGGCGCACGGGTGGTGCGCTCGGAGGGCCGTGAGCCGGGGGAGCCCAGACGACCCCGTTTCGACCGATCGACGGTTAGTTTGATCGTGACAAAGAATGGTTTCTCTTTGTATACAATATATATTTTTATATATTTATACACTCCTTGTTGTTGATCCTTGCTGGAAGAAGTACGTCTATATACTACAAGGTGGGCATGCCTTCAGGAATGCATGGCGGGGGATTCTTGTGCCCTATGTTTGATTTTCCTGGGGAACAGCTGCATTTCGACAAACTGCCGAGCGTGGAAAAGCTGAAAGCAACGTTGTAACCGGCTTGATGGTTTGCATATTGCATGGTTTATTCACCTTTACACTCACGTTGATGCACCGATTTGTTATAGTCATAGGCCTATGCGGTATAGCTTTACAGAAGCACTGGCTGGTTGTCTAGGTCAGAATTCTAGGGCTTCGCACAAGCTCCAAGACCTGTGCTTTCGCGAGCACACGACTGCTAAGCGCAAAGCAACCGCCAAAGCAAGTCTCGACGAGATGCCCAACATCGTGTGCAGTGTGTCTCTAATCAGTTGATCATTTGATCATTTGTGTTACAATGAAACAAACGGTTCATGTTAAGTGTTGCTTGTTTTAGAGCGGCTCGCATGGAAGAGCAAGAGCAAATCAGCCAAGTGGCGCTGGGAAAATCAGTGGTTTGCGCAAAGACAGTTTTCTTCTGTGTTGTCCATATAACGGCCGTGGATGTGGACGTTTGTTGTTGACAACGTTTGTTGTGTGTGCCTTCTGGTGCTCGTTTGGCGCGGCGGCGTGTGGAAGTGCAGGCTGCCACTGTCCTGCGTCACGTTCGGTCGAACCCTTCCAGACCACAGGCTGCAAAAATCGACAGGAGAGATGCTGGTCTCAGTGGGGGTTGTGTTCGTTGCAAGGTTCTCCCCAAAACTTCTATGCTCCAACATCATCCAAAACTATATATGTTCAAAGGATAATCGTTTTTTAAAGGGGCCCCCGCAGGTTTACTGTATTTTCCAAGCGGGCTTTTGCGACAGTAATACTGGGGTTTTGTTCAAACGGTTGGAACATTCCTGTAACATTTCTGAACAAAACCCAAGGTTTTTTGCGACAGTATCCACTGAGGGTGTGTGTTTTGTTTGTCGGTTCAACGGTGTTTCTTTTTGCGACGGTGCCCGCTAATACTGTTTTTTTGAACAGTTCACCGGTGTTTTTTTGCACCCGCAGCATCACAGCAGGTTGTGTCAAAAATGTGTTTGCAGGAACCAATTGTCGCACTTGCAGGCGAGCGCGAATCAACCGATTGGCACGACAGCTCGAGATTTGGGTGCAAAGCCCTGCGCCTGCATTGCCACCAACACTGTGGACCATGCACAGTGGGATGCTGAGCCCTGGTCGCGGAGCAATAGGTGGTCGCGGAGCTGTGTCCCACACACAGAGCGTTACCTATCTTTGAGCGTCGCGTGCGTAAGAAAATCGGGAGGGGTGTGCAGGGAGGGCGCAACGTCCCTCCCCCCGCAGGGCGTGACATAGCTTGGAGTTTTGACACAGTCGCAGAGCTACAGGTGGTCACGCAGGTGGGATACTTTAAAACAAAAATCGGGAGGGGGGTGCAGGAGCGCAGCGCCTCCCCTCGCAAGACGTGATATAGTTCGCAAGCTAGACGGTCGCGGAGTTGGGTCCCACACACAGAGAAGCTCTCATTACCACCTATTAAGGCCAAGAGACGCTGACCAATCTCTTTGTAGAGTCTTGCCGAGTCGTCATGGATAGAGATCTTGAACAGAGGTCTTCCGTGGAAACTCCGACGTGGATAGAGATCTTGAAGACATGTCTTGCGCGGGAACTCTCAAGGCTTGCCCAATGATCTTCGAGGAAAAAAGGACAAGGGGACAGAGTAAAAGAAGAATGAGGAGGAACGGAGGATAAAAAGGAAGAGAGGAAAAGCAGGAAGAGCACAATGAGGAGCAGGACAGGTGGAGGAGTACGAGAAGAGGGGGGGAAGGAAAGGAGAAGGATGAGGAGGATGAGGAGGAGGAGGAGGAAGAGAAGGGAGAGGAGGAGGAGGAGACGGGGGAGGAGGAGGAGGAGGACGGGGGAGGAGGAGGAGGAGCAGGAGCAGGAGATTACCATCGCAAAAGACCCCTGTGGCCGAAGCAATAAACCCCTCTGTGCCGTTGCAGCAACCCCCCCTTGAATTGCCCGTCGCGAAAGACTCCAGTAGTACTTCACCGTAACAAAAAACCCCAAACCCCAAGTACCTCACCAATCGATCCGGACGAAACTTCTGTGTTTGTTTTTGGCTCCGACGTCCTGGTTCGATGCAACTTGTCTAACATAAACCCCCTTGTAATTACGATTTTATGTCTATTTCGTTCCACCCCTGCCACGCGAAATGCATATCTCGTTTCCTCCTCTTGGAAATGTATTTTCTCCCACGCCTGCCACACGAAATGATGTTTGTGTTGCGTCAACATGAATAGACTCTTTGCTGTTGCTCATTTTGGACACACTGCCGCCAATGTTTTGGCCACATACACGATGTTGGGGGTTCAAGATGCTTGCGTTCTTGTCTGCTTTTTCCTCTCACGTGTTGCGTTGTCTCGCACACGGGGGGCTTGGGGGGGCAAGATGCTTGCGTTCTTTTCTCTTTTTCCTTTCACATTTTGCGTTGTCTCGCACAAGATGCTTGCGTTCTTGTATCTTTTTTCCTCTCCCGTTTTGCGCTCCATCTCTCTTTTGTTTCCTGTTTACGTTTGCATGTTAATTTCTCTGCTTTGACACGTGAAGGTGGAGGTTCTTGGACCCGTGAAGGTGGAGGTTCTTGACCCGTGAAGGTTGAGGTCCAGAAAGGCCTGCGAAGAGTTGACAAGGAATCATGCCTAGCAGCTTCAGATTCCGGAGAGGCTTTGCTTCAACATTTGCAAACACAAGATGCCTGTGGCAGCTGCAAGACACAACCTGGATGAAATGACTCCGGCGCAATCTTTCAAATGCACAAGTCTCACTGCCAAACAATTGGCTACTGCCAAGAAAGAAATTGGCCGCATGCAAAAGACCAGCTGCTTTCTTCAAGTCCAAAAGTGTGCAATACGTGGGCGGAGACAATCTTGCAGAATCAGAGATATCGAGAACCAAGAATCAACTGCGGCGACGAAACCTTTTAGGACCGATGAGTCCTGCAATGCACACGTGAACCAATTCGCTGTTCTATAGATTGTTGTCGCAACCTGGACTGAATACAGTGTTGCAAGCTTTCAAAGAGTATACCGCTTAAAGCGTGACTCAACAATTGGGTTGCCCGCCATCCGAATGCCTGGACATCGAAAAAGATTCCAGTTGGCTGTGGCAATGATTTCTCAGAAAAAACAATAGTCTGCTTGTGTTTTGCATCCTTGCAGGCGCGCCCAACCACAGCGTCGCGCTTTTTTGTATGGTACTACCCACGGATGAGACCGGAGAGTTCCAACGGTCCCAGCTACGTGGTATTGCACGTCATGTTGCGTTGGATGGTCCCAGGTACCATGTCCAGCTCCGGCACGCCTCCGACAGCCGCAGCCTCCTGCGTGCGACCAAGGGCTTCGAGACTAAGGCGCTGGGCTGGGATGCTCCGGCTGGGATGTACGAAGCTTACTTTAACAGCGGGCACATGTCTTGCAAGTGATTGTTCTTCAAGAGGGTGGCTGTTGTGCGACAATTGGACTCTGTTCAGGGTATCAGCTTTGGCTGTGTGGAATTTGAAGATGGTGTGTGCCCTTTGCTGGTAGTAGTTCCATTTGTTATATCATATTGCTACTTTGATCCTCATCACGAAGGGTAGCCTCGGCTACCTGAGTTCTCTTTGCTTTAGCGATATGATATTAGGGGTTGGTGGAGGGCTCCTGCGCTTGATTTCGATGTTTTTTAATTTTGGTTTTAAATGCTTGGGGGGAGGCCCCCCATTCGACTCCACCCTGCGCCGCTCAGAATTTAATCTGGCTTATCGACTGTGGTCTATGAAAATCTGTGGTCTATTGCTGGCGGCTGCTGCTTGTTGCTGCTTGCTGCTGGTTGCTGCTTGCTGTGCTGCTTGCTGCTCCTTCCTGTACTGCTTGCTGCTGTGCTACTTGTTGCTTGTTGCTTGCTGCTGTCGCTGGTGCTGGTTGCTGGTTGCTGCTGGTTGCTGCTGTTGCTGCTGCTCGTTGCCGCTGGTCGTTTCCGCTGGTTGCTGCTGCTGTTGCTGCCGCTGTTGTTGTTGCTGCTGCTGCTGCTGCTCGTTGCGGCTGGTCGCTGCTGCTGCTTGCTGCTGCTGCTGCTGCTTCTACTACTGCCACTGCTTGCTGCTGCTGCTGCTGCTACTGGTGGTTCGTGGTTGCTGCTGCTGCTGGTTGTTGCTGGTTGCTGCTGCTGCTGATGATCCTGCTGGTTGCTGCTGCTGTTTGGCTGTTGCTGCTGTTGCTGTTGCTACTTCCTGCTGTTGCTTGAATCCTACAGGCTGCTCCTGCTTTGCTGGCTGCTGTTGGTGGGGTGGTTGTGCATTGCCTGTGTTGGGGCTTTCGGGGCGGGCACTGTTGGTGCTTTCTGTCTCTGCCCTCGACCATGACAAGTCTCCACCCTTTTTCAATTTCGTATGCACAAAAACTGTACGAAAACCAAGGGTTGTGGAGGCGGCAAACTTGTGTGAACTTTGGTGCTTTGCTTTGCTGCTGCTGTTGTTGCAGCCGCTGCTGCTGCCACTGCTACTGCTACTGCTGCTTTCTGCTTTGATGTGCTGCAGCTTGCTTTGCTGTTGCTGCACTGCTGCCGCCGCCGCCGCTGCTGGTGCTGGCGCTACCTTTTTGCTTTGCTGCTGCTGCTGGCTGCTTGCTCCTGCTCAGAATCTTCCAACCTCTACCTTTCGTCCACCTCCGTCGCCTCAAGTGAAAGCACTGCGTGCTGGCAGAACAAAGCAAACAACAAAAAACACTGTGATAGGAGTTCTTGGTCCAACTGGGTGAAAGACACTCTCGCCAAAAAAACATGTCGTTCTCAAAACGAATGGAAAGCAACCAATCGGGAGTGTGTCCACCAATTTCAACCTCCATTAAATACCCACCACTACCCTTTTCATTAAGACACCAAGCGGCAGTTCATTGACTTTCAGCAGGCCCGGGGTTCTGTTTCTAAGCCGTACGGTAGTTGTCATGCATCTTCACTGCAATGCCGCTGGTCTCTTGGCGAAATCGAGGCTGAGCTGGCCAAGAAGGTCTGCGTGGCCGCCACTGAGGCGGGGGTCGCTTCGGACGTTCCGACGTCTATGTGAGACGAAGGACCCGGTGGTTGCTGTTTGTTGCTGAGGCCTGGTCCTGTGGCATTTGTAGCTGTTGCTTTGGACAGAACCTCAATGGTTGGCAGGATTCATTAGGAGGAGTGCGGAGAGGTATGTTTGATCGAACGTGACTGATGAATGTATAGTTGACCTGCAGATGCTGCGGAGATTCGAGTTAATTTGGGTCCAGGTAATTGTTTGGACACTTGTTGTTCAGTAGTAGTGTGTGTTCTCAGAAATATCGTTGGTCGTCCAGCTGACATATTCTCATCCCATTCCATGAAGAGCCAACATAACAATGCATCCCAAGAAACGTTTCTATGCCTTTGCTCTTCCTTTGGGCAACTGGCAGATTGAACGCACAAAACCTATCAACGCATGCACTTTTTTTGAAGCACTCGAACGAAACACATAGCGAACCCATGAATTTGCCTCCCCCGAAGGACGCCAAAGGACGCCTCGCAGCATCGTTGCGCATCGTTGTTGAGGCACTTCAGTGGAGAGCTTCTTCGAATGAAGAACCAGGATTGGTGTGGAACTGCGGTGGTTGGATGTCCCAGCGTTTGGACTGTGTTGAAGCACTGGCAGAGGTTAGTCGTCTTGTCTTCATCATGACTTTTTGGGAGTGAATGCAATGCACACTCATGATTGGTTTGGTGATCACAAAGTCACTCAACCTTGATGGCATGGTTTCTGCAGAGCAACACAATGTTGTAAATAAGCAGCTGCGCCCCATAAATTCACTTTGCTAAACAAAAACACTGCACTGTTTCTTTGTGGTTGGTGTTTACTTGAAGGTACATGTGCACTGCTTTGACCCGTGCTTCTTAGCCACGGTATTCCAGGAGTTTCCTCACCACGGGGATGCACAGGATGCCGCTATGCGGATTTGGTCCGGTAGTTCACGCTGGAACGTGCTACTAGCTTAATTAGATGAGACATCGGATGATTTTGGTCCTTGGAGTTGTCATTTTTGAGCCATGGGTCATTACACTCAGTTCATTGTCGAACAAGGAACTCCTGGGAAGGCGAGATCTTGAAGTAGATGAAACACGACAATAAACATGAGAAAAAGGAGAACACCACTGAAACCATGCAGGGACTTTCCAGTCACTGAAGTTGGTCACATGTTCATCATTATTTTGCGAGGAAAACACATGTTTGATGCAAGGGCCTTATGAAGACTCGTGATGCTTCAAGGGCTTGTGGGTCCCTTATCCGTGATCCTTATATCGGTCGCAAATTAGACCCTGACAGCAATATACAGCAATGGCATCCCAATAGCATCCCCAAGTCGATCCCTTGTTGGGCAGCGCGCCACGAGAGATGGAACATCCCTGCAAGGTCGGTGTTTCGTCACCCTGCACCGCAAGATCGGGCAACGCCGCAACGCCCAACTGAAACAAACTCTGTGGACTATTATCATATACTGTATTACTTTAAAACTATATATTTATATATAATTCTATCTGTATAATACTATTGTATATATTATATATATATTACAATCATCACATATAATAGTTAATATTCACATACTATGTAGTTTTGACTTAAGGGCTCATGCTTCTGGACTGGGGGAATCAAGGGTACCTTTCCGTGGCGATACAAAATGGCAGGAGACGTTCTGTGCTTCCTTCCGGGCGAGCCTGAGTGGCTGGATGGCAAGCGGACGACCGTTCGGTCGGTCCATGAGTCCTGCTGTTCACTCGAAAAGATGATGAGGTTGTGTTGTGGGGGACCAGACTGAATGATACACCACATGGGCAAAGTCCGAGCAATCGGCTGGATGATGTAGGCAGTGTGATTGCAGTTTCATGCAAGGTCAGTAAGAATGACATGACCAGAGCGACATGGTCAAAGACGTGTTGATCGACCGATCAGCCCAACCAGATGGAGCCCAATGGATTCATCAGGTTCTGTGGACTCTTCATGTCGTCCAGAAGCCGTGACTACGCCGAGTTGCTCGGAGTCGGAGTCGTTGGACGGATGAGATCAGATGCCCAGGATTCGGCGCTGCCAGAAGCTTTTGGAGGCCTTAACACGACTTTTCGCGTTCGAGGTCAGTCAAATCTGTGAAATGAGCGAAAGCATGCAAGCAAACAGAGCAATCTCAACAGAAACGAGCACATTTTGCCAGACATAAAAATGTTTCTTGACTTGCTGAATCTGGCTATACCGGAATCTCCGGGGATAGTGGCCAGCTTAAGTTGTAGAGCCACTGTTGGGCACCCAATCATGTCACGAGTCACTACCTGATTCACGTCGCAGACTTTGCTTAGGGGTTTTCAGAGTTGGATATGATGCAGTGGGTGGATGTCAAAATCAACACCTATAACATTGGGATGAACCGCCCGTGGTCCTCGGACTGCGGATTCACAGAGACCCCGGGCTTCACATTGTTTCACGGGACACCCCGGGTTTCTCGCTGCCCCTTGTGGTTGGCCCATGTGCTGGACTCCTCGCCCCATGTTTTCGTTCATCAACGGATGAACTGGAAGTTCATGTCATGTGACCTCAACGGTATTGACTTCGCTCTAAAGTCAGCTAATGAATGGGTCATGCCCCCAAAGAATGGTCCAACACGGTTTGCAGCATCCCACCGTGTATGCAGCTGCTCCGGGTGGAAAATCAAGAACCCCGCAGCCTGGCAGATAGACACCACAGGAACCCATACCCTCTAAGTGCCGCCACAATGATCCTTTCGAGCATGCGGGTCGACCAATGTACAAAAATACCTCTGCTGCCTCCGTTTGACCGTTTGAGTCTTCGGGGTAGGACTGACTGCCCGTAGCAGTTCAGCCGCCAGGAGCAGTTCAGCCGTTTGTCCCGCAAAGCGCTCCGGTCCTGGGTGTCATGCGCTTGAGCGGCGTGAAAACCGTCGTGTCACACTCATGTTCATTGTTGTCAACACAACAGCACTAAAGTTGATTGTTCACCTCCGAGTCACGAACATGGAAGTGGACGACCTGCTTATATATAGAGTCTAGAGGAAAAATATGGTAAGAATGATTCAATGGCGAAGTGAGTAAAAGGCCGAGAATCATTTCTTCGTTCTGCCAAGATAACATATTTCTTCCCTCCCAAATGTGTTCATCCTTCGATCGGACCCGTGGTAGGTCGCAAAGCCTCGACCGACACGGGGCTTTGGTGAGGCCCGACCTGCATCATTCCAGATCGGAGCCGTTTCGCGTTTGGAAGGTGAATTTTGAGCATCCATTTCGAGTCGATTGGAGCTCATTATATAATTGGACCGCTTGGACCATATAACTCTCCCCAAACTAGCGCAATGGCTTTTCTGTGTGCAGTTCACGGGCCTTTAGAGATGTTTTTGAGGCACCGGCAAGCACTTGGGCCACCTTCCGATGTTACCCTACATCATAACACCCCGCAGTATGTGGCGACTGGATGCCAGCAATGCTTTGTACTTCTTGATGTCATAGACTCTATCATCGACAGTCTATGAACCTATAAGACCCAAATCCATGATCAAATCCATGATACATCATGATACCATAAATAGGCTACTATAGATATTTGTCCTGATCGAAGAATGGTCTTTATCAACGGCATCCACCATTGTAACGTTCGACACTGCTTGATATCCAACGTCGAAAACCTCAAAGTGTAAGCAGGGTGCACCCTGCCGAAACTAGTCAGGCGGACTTGCTGAGTAGATCAAGATACTGTATCACTTTGTCACCCCCATCGCTACGTACTAGTAGCAAGAAGCTACTAGTAGCAAGGGCATCGCTATTAGTAGTAGGTGCATGCTATTAGTAGCAAGATGCATTTCTTGTTTAACTTTGTCAAAGACCGGACTAGGCCCCAGCCTCCGCTGCCGCGCACCTCGCCGGAGCATCCGAACAGAGGGAACGGGCTTGGCGCTCTCTCCGAACATCCGGGGAGTGCGCTCGTGGGTGAAAATGGGTCGAGACTGCAGCTGCCACAACGGTGGCCATACTTCCGCAAAATCTTTACTTTTGAATCATATGAGAAGAGGTCAACTTCAGGAATATATAGCAGTTCGGAGTTTGTCTTACCTTGGCAGGAATATGGAATGAAATCACACAAGATACGATAACGTACAATTATTGCTCACATGGTGATTCGGAGCACGTCTTCCCAGGTCTCAACCGATTGATGTGTTGCCGTTGCATGGATCCTTAGATGCAGAGGCCGGGTTCGAGACGGAACTCACATGCTTTGCGCGTGCAAAGTCAAAACATGAGGCGGAAACACGTAGAAGAACCTTTTTCACAAATGGGTTATGGGTATGGGGCTGAAAAGCAGAGTCTCCACTACACCTCCAACATTGACAGATGGTTCTCAGATGTTTTAGGTAACTACCAAGTCGATGACCGCTGACAAGGATGCAGCCGCTTTGGTCAGGGAACAACAGAAACCCACAAACACCAAATGGACATAATGCATATACTTGCATAATAGCCTTGCACAAACACTACAGGAGAGTAGCGCTTTTGCTTCTCGAAGTCTTTGAAACCAGAGAGCAAGACCTTTGAACCACCTTGAAGGGATGCATTTGTCCATACCCAAGTACGGATTTTGTTCAAATTCATTGACCCCAGTTCCCATGGAGCGTATGGGGTCAGCATCTCCGTGGATTTTTGCACCCTGTGAGGCTCAGGATCTGGCGGTGCAGCCGGGTGAGCCCGGAAGGTGCCGGATTCGGCCCGGGACGGTCATTTCTTGAGACTTCAAAGAAGCATTTAATTTGCTCATATATTCATTTTTAGATTGCTCAGAGGCTCAGAGTAGTCTCCTCTTCACGTAGACTATATACTATTACTACTCAAAATCTTCCCCAAACTTTTCCCCGGCGGCTGCCAGAAGGCTCCCGCGGCTGTGAGGCGCCGTGTGATTCTGGCCACGAACGTCGCCGAGGCCTCCATCACGGTGTCAGGCGGCGCCGCCGGCGCCAACGTGCCGGCACGTGGCGTGTTGGTTCCCTTAGTTCTTGATACATGGAGATGTTTGTACTTCTTTAGCATGTCTGGGTGTTTTTTGGAATCATTGGCTGATATCTGAGATGTGGCGAGCTCACATTTGAAGCAGAGTGCCGCAGCATTAAGACCTTAATTTTGGTTGCCTTGGTCCATGCTAGAGCCGCACTCACGTGAGTGGAGAACTGTGGTTTAAGAGAGCTTTACATTATTTCAGAATATACGACCTTAAATCCTCAAATCTGAGAATGCTCATCTGGAATCTTAAATTAGGATATTCAACAGGAATAAGCCCCAGCATTTTGCTGAACAACAGTGCTTGATCAGGCTCAGAATTCAAGGCCATTTCTGTCCTTGTTTGCTACAAACTGCATTTGTTTCAGCCCAAACAGAGGAGTGACCTCTGTGGTGGACAGCGGCTTGCGGAAGAGGCGGCGGTTCACCCGAACATCGGAGAAGCGACCGCGTTGGTCGCTGGCCGTCGTGAAAAGGCAAAGCTTTATAAAACATCAACAAAAAGTCAACGTAGTAGTCGGTGCCAAAAGTCAAAGTCAAAAAAATGGTCAATTCAGAAAGTTTCAGAAAGTCAAAAAAAGAAGTCAAACAAAAGTCGATTGGCCCAGATCCGACTTTTTTAACTAACATTTTTGTTGACTTGTTTGCTATTTGTTCTATTTTTTTTGACCTTTTCGAGTCATTTTCTATTTTTTTCATGGTAGCAAGGGTGCTACGTAGTTCATTTTTGGTGTGTGTCAAGTTAATATCAAAAACTACCCAGTGCTCGGCCCCCCCCAAAAAAAATAAGAAATCCCAACAAAATTTCAATGTCCGAGGCAGACGAATCTTTGCCCCGCTGCGATTACTTTCAGAGGTCTCCGAACTCCGACGAGAGCGGAACACATAGCCCTTTGACAGCGGCAGTAAGCTGATGGTTTGGCGGTCTGGTTTGAGAGGTCTTGTGGTATGCCGTTCCGAAACGAAGGCCCAGCTTGGTGAAAAAGACCTATAGGATCCTATAGGTCATTTTCCATGGTTTTAGTGAAAGAACAAAAGGGCGAGGACCACACGACTGGCCATTTTGCAGGTCCATTTTCAACTCTACGACTGGCTTTAACAGATTGGAGTTGGCGTGAGCACTCAGCAAGGGTTGCTGAGAGCGCAGCTGACAAAGAATGCATGGATATTCCAGAAGAGGTATGTAAATATAGTTATGTTGCTTCGATCATGTTCAAAGTTCAATCTCTTGGATGCCCATTTGCACCTTAATGATGCTTCAAGGCTTGGCCGAAAGGTCTAAAGGCATCAAGGCTTGGCTTTTTCCTACATGTGGTCGCAATTCAGTTCTTAATTTTGTTTATATATTATACATGTGCATGCATGTGCATATTTTGTTCAGTGAGGTCTACTATACCGGCTCACCACGGGTCAATCGGGGGTTTTGGGCTTGCAGCGTTTGGTGTGGGTCGATCCATTCTGAGCCTGACATCCCCGCAGTCCAGCTGATCAGAAGCTGATGCGATTACATGTTGATGGGCGTTGGCTCCTGAACATTGCACCAATGATCGATCAAGTGCCCCTCCCTGAAAGTCTAATGAACAGATGTCAAACTTGCGCATCGTCCAATCCTTTGCTTTGTAAACTTGTCCATCCAAGGGGAATTGACGAAAGGGACATTGGAGCCCCAAAACGGATGAACAGATTGCCATTTTGGGGTGAATGTGGGAATTTGAATTGGTTCCATTGCCCGGAAACACCAGAAACACCAGATATCCTTAATGACGTGGGAAATGGAATGGGGATTGAGTCCAGTTGAATTGGAGACGTCAGCTTCAGAGTCCATGAGAGCACTTCCAACTGCTCTTGAATTTCAATTGTGCTCTTTTTGTGCCAGGGATCTAATCTAACATCGTCACCAGATTTACAGTACATAGCTTGAGTTTTTGTTCCAGTGGTGTGGGCCTTTGTGAGGGGATCGCATTTCATTCTTTTTTGGGGGGTGATGTTTGATATGCTTCATGATAAGATTCAACTAAGGAAAGCCAGCCAAGAATGTTGTGTATCTGGCTGATTCCTTGTTCCACACCAATCGAAAGAAGCTGCATGAAGCTGCTAAGAGGAGGCTACACAACAAAATAACAGGGAAGTGCGATAGTTTCCAGACAGGACATATGCGGCACACATATTCAGTACTGGGTTGAGAAAGAACGAGGATTCCCAGAATATAGGAAGCAAACACTCCTTTGCTGCCTCGAGCTTATGTTTCATACTTTCAGGTATTGCCTTCGTGGGGCGTACCCTTGACACTTGACGGGCTGATTCTTGGAGCCATAGTTGATAGCTTTTAACAACTTTCCTTTGCGTGAAATAGCAGGAACAAAATCGTTTTAGGTTTAGCATTTGTCAAAGGAAAGCCATCATTTAAAAGTATTACTGTATTAAAAAACAACAAATCCGTGGGATACCACTTGAACATCAACAAGGAATCAATGAACACACAGCAGCAACACAATGGAAGCAACATCAGAAACAAACAATCCACCAAACTCATGGGGTTTGGGGGATCCAGAGGGAAATCAACACCCAGGAGTATTTCAAGCTGCCGTCGACTGCAGCGCCAAGGCTGCCGTCTCAGCTGCTTCGGCGGACCAGCGGCGAGGGCGTGCAGGTAGGAGCTGTCGGTTGCTGTGGAGTGAAGTTGGCGCTGTGGAGTGAAGTGTTTGCCCCATTCAACAGATATTTTTGGTAATTTTTGAATCCCATCCATACCAGCTGGACTGATCGTCGTAGTCCTAGTGGTTCACGTCTTGGATGTAAGATGACTGGAACGCAGTAGAGGCAGAGGCCTGCAATGACCGCAGTCAGCTGTCCGTCCCCAGGACTCCTCCAGTCACGAAAACGATTTCTGAGTCTTCTGAGCCTAACTTTGCAACCTTCCCGCCCGATGACGAAAAACCCCCGGAAGTTGCGCGGAACTTCGTTGGATTTCCCAACCAACGCCGGTTCTTTCGCAGCTGCCATCGGCGATTTCGGCCAGGCCGCGTGAGAGATGGCCTGTGCGGCCTGGACCGAAGGGCCTCTCTCCCAGACCATCCATCGGACTGGCATATTTATCGATCCATTGGGGTCGGGGTGGTTGAGAAGGGGTCCATGTGTAAACATGCCAGTCCCATGGATGGCTTGGGTCTGTATTACTTGCTTTTGTTGTGCCACATAGAAGCCAGCTTCTTCTTGGTGACCCAGAAGACATCTCTGTCCATGATTTGCCAGAAGTCGTTCCAAAGGAGAGGATGAAAAGTGAACAGGTTGCTTGGTTTTCATTTCTATGTTTTCACCCTACATCCACCACTTGAAGAACACACAAAGTTTTCCTCCTTCACCAACTGCTTGCGCCTTCTCGCCCACCCCCCAGCCGCCCTGGTGTTCACCGAGGTCTTCGTTTGTGGGCCAAAGGCCAAAAGTTGGTGCCGGAGGATGTCGCTCAGCGTAAAAAAGTAGAAATGCTGCTCAGATAATATTGGACTTAGGCTTAGGAACCTGAAGTTATAGTGCTTTTAACATGGATAGTGTTCAATATGAACATCCAGTCAACAAGTTCTCTAGATACTGAAGCCTGGTTTCAAGGGCCTACTGCAACATTGGAGGTTTTTTCCCGACTATTTGTGCGTTTTGCAATTGGAGAAGGACGTAAATGTGTTTGGTCAAAGGCTTTCAGATGTTCCTCCATTTGCATCTCCATGCCGGTGACCCTTTACAAGAAGCCTTGAAGTGTTTGCACGTCACTTCGACCATGTCCTCCAGAGCGCTCGAAGACATTTTGGAGCTAATATACTAGTTGCCTGCATCCTATACAGCGGAGTCGGGGAGCGAGGAAAATCTGTCTTTGCACGCGCAGAGCTTGCGTGCGGTTTCCGTTTGAAACAACAGCAGGATCATTCTATGGCCGACCCAAACTCCTCCAAACCTCTGGGTGCTTCAGCTCTTGAGCGCTCTCTTGGGGCACTCCCATCACCGAAAGCGGACGCCCGTCTTCAGGTTCCTGCCATCGGGGAAGAGGACCTGACCGGTGCCATTTTGCAGCTGCTGAGCACTGGCGTGCCCTGAGTGGCAGAGGATGAAAATAGGGATTGGGAGGACATAAGCCACCAAGCGCTCCAGAGACTGGAGCATTGCACATTAAGCCTGGCAGTGTCCTTTCGGGCAACTGCCAGTTGATGTGGACTGCGAGCCATATTAGGAACGTTTGTTTGCAGGGCGAAGGAGATGAAGAAGGCAGGCTTCGGATGATCCGAATCCGCCACTATCACCATCGCTACTAGGTTGGAGGCCATCACTACTAGGGTGGATGTCATCAGGATGGAGGCCATCGCTACTATACCTTTGTTTTGGTGAGTCACTTTGGTGCTGGCCCATTTCTCAGACCGATGGGCCCCATGGAGCTATAAAACACCTGGTGACCTCGTGGCGTGGTCAACTTTGGTCTTCAGTTGCAGGGGTTGCAAATCCTGAGTTTTCATATCCAAGAATTCGGTGGTGCAGTGTAGGTGGTGCATGACTGGACCCTCGAAATCGACCGGTGCAGAGGGGTTCAGAGAATGGATCTTTCCCTCATTGGCCATGGGAACCCAGGTGCCGTTGCAAGGGATCTCCGAGTTACCGTGGCTGGTGCCCAGCCTGGATGCGGTGTCGGTTTGGGCGACATGCGACAGAAGTAGCAGTTGTTTTTCTTCCTTTTTTAGAGCAGGGGAATCGCTACTAGGGGCACTCCTGGCCGTACTACTAGTAACAAGAGGACGCTATGAACGTGACATTTTGGGCATTCGGCTACGAACGGAGCGATCGGACGCTATACAGTGGTGTGAGCAGAACGGCAAATTCGCGATGAGGCTGGCCAGACAAGCCTGACAGATTTTTGTCGGAGCTTTAATTTACAAACAAATCCAATGGCATTGGGCTGCAAACAGAAGCACCATAACGCTGAGAAGTTGTGCTACTTCATGTAGGGTGTACCACCTGTTCATACTCGTGTGCCTCATTGCTTGAAATACTCGCGTTTGAAAGATTCCTGGTCTCAGCACACGTTTGGGCACGGAGCAACTACTTTCACCCAAAAAGAAGTGGTTGATGGCAAAAGCTGTCACAATTTGATAGAAGATGGTATAAGTGCCTTGCAGCCTCTGAGAAGTACACGCACGGGTCACGGGACGTTCCATTTGCTTCGCCAGAAACGTCATTCCCAGGTCGGGAACGTGACGGTTTGGTCGGATTTGATGAACAGTCTTTGACAGTACTCCCATGGAAAAAGAAACTAACAAACATATAGGGTTTGCATTCGGTACTTTAATGTCCTTTAGACTCTTAGGAGATGTTGAATCGCCGTTTCTCCTTCGCCCTTTGAGGATGGGAAGTCCAAGCGATTGAGTTTGTCGGACTCGAGAGTGCTTCGTTTGCTTGTCCTGAATCCCTCCTCCAATGCCTCCTCCAAATGATGCACTCCAAGAAACAGCAACAAAAACACAAACATATTTGTAGAAACAACAATATATGTAGACGTGAGTGACATGAGGAGAACAGATGTAGGGCTCATGAGCGCCGACTCAGACCAAGGACTGCCCGCCCAAAGCTTCCGTCAACCATGCGGAAGAGGCAGAATGAAGGGAGCATGTATGGAGAACTCACCACGCGAGATATATCTGAGCGAATTATTGCGAGCTCACTTGGCGAGGTACGAGGTAGAGTAATTTCAAAACGAAATTATGCGAGGTAAGTCCAGCACCAGGACTCCAGACTCCATCAAGCCAAGCAGCCTTCTTGACGTCTCAGGCCCTAGCCAGGCCTACTGGGTAAGGAACGTATGCTGAGCAGCTCAAATAGTCAAGCCCCAAGAAACAGCCCTATTCCCTATTTTGGCGAAATAGGATTTCACGATTGGGGATTGGTTTGCAGCCTTGTTGATGTTGTCTTAAGCCCTAGCCAGCCCCACTAGGTCAGGAAACTGTGCTGAACAGCTCAAATAGGCAAGCCCCATGAAACAACCCTATTTCGGCGAAATAGGGTTTCAGGACTGTGGATTGGTTTGCGGCCTTGTTGATGTTGTTTTGGGCCCTAGCCAGCCCCACTAGGTCAGGAAACTGTGCTGAACAGCTCAAGTAGGCAAGCCCCATGAAAAAGCCCTATTTTGGCGAAATAGGGCTTCAGGACTGTGGATTGGTTTCCACCCTTGTTGATGTTGTCTCGGGCCCTAGCCAGCCCCACTAGGTCAGGAGACCATGCTGAGCAGCTCAAATGGGAAAGTGCCATGAAAAATTCCGACTTTGGCGAAATAGAGTGTCATGATCATGGATCGGTCGGTAAGGAAACGCTCTTCTCACTTAAGCACTCCTGACCCGCGCACAACGCACACATGCGCGCGCACACGCACTCGTGGGAAAAGAGAAAAAGCTTCCAAAGCTTTCAGAGGCAGGGGTCGAGCTCGAGGGTTGTCCTTCGAAGACCGGAGTGTATCCAACTAGGCCGCTGGCGCGTTGATTTATTAGATTGGGTCACTAATTAGAGGCTTTAAAACAAACCCTTTTGGGCAAAAATTGGGTTTCACAACGGTTGATTGGCTCGCTACCGTTTTGGCCTGGTTTCCCGGCCTACCAAAGCCTAGTAAGTAAGGATCCTGAGCCGAGCAGCTCTAAAAGGCAAGCCCCCTGAAACGACCCTATTTCGGCGAAATAGGGTTTCACGACTGTGGATTGGTTTGCGGGTTGGTTGATGTTGTCTCGGGCCCTAGCCAGCCCATGGAAACTGTACTGAGCAGCTGAAACAGGCAAGCCCCATGAAACAACCCTACTTCGGCGAAATAGGGTTTCAGGACTGTGGATTGGTTTGCGGCCTTGTTGATGTTGTCTCGGGCCCTAGCCAGCCCCACTAGGCATGGAAACTGTGCTGAACAGCTCAAATAGGCAAGCCCCATGAAACAGCCCTATTTTTGCGAAATGGGGGTTCACGACTGTGGATTGGTTTGCGGCCTTGTTGATGTTGTCTGGGGCCCTAGCCAGCCCCACGAGGCATGGAAACTGTGCTGAGCAGCTCAAGTAGGCAAGCCCCATGAAACAGCCCTATTTTGATAGGGTTTCACGACTGTGGATTGGTTTCCGCTCAATTGAACATAGACCAGCCCCCCTCAAGAGAACACTTTTTTCAAAGGCTTTGGAGCCACCCACCCGCTCACTCGGTGCAGGTGCCAGCCAAGCACAAGCAACCCCCGATCAGCCAGGGGTCAAGAAGACAGATAGACAGACAGACAGAGAGACAGACAGACAGCCCACCCAGCCAGCCTGCCAGGAGCCAGGCAAGCAGGCAGGCAGGCAGGCAGGCAGACGAGGTGATTGAAATTATTCAAATTAAACGAGGCGAGGTGAATAATTTCAAAACATTGAATTAAGACGAGGTACGAGGTGAACGAAATTAATGAAATTAGTTTAATTCACTCAGATATATACTGTACGTATCTGTACGTTCTTTTATACGGTCACATGGAGTTTCACCATGTTTTACCCGATGAGATGCCTTTGTGTGTGCTTTAATCAGCTTTAAACAAATGTGTTGGTCCATTGGTGGGTGGGTGTGTGTGTGTGTTACACCCTGTTCTTAAGCGTTACTTTCATGCAGCTTGTGCACTCTCAACTTCAGGTTGTTGAATTCAATATTTTATACAAGAACTGCAGGGAGTCTCTCCACCCAGCACCATGGAGTAGCCAGCAAAGAGCCTGGTTGTGTGGTGCTGCCAACGTACCTGCTCGATGTTGAGGGGCATTAAAGTCGCAGCTGGAGAACAAGTTCCTTCTTAAGCTTTGGTGAATCTACGTAGTAATCTTCCAGCAGCCGTTTCATATATATATATAGGTTGTTGCGCACTAAAGAGCTAATGCAGTAAAGGCAATGGCTAGTTTCAGACTTTCACCGCACTTTGCTCTTACGAGCATACTTCCAAGTGTCTCTTTGTGGAACCGTCATTGCGGCCCTGTTTGAACAACATCAAATGTAGCAATCGTTGCAGAGACTTGCTGACCACTCGGGTTGTTTGCAAGGTTTCAGGAGATTTTGCAGGGGTTACTCTTCAGAGTACTGACTAGGATGCAAAACATCCTTGAGCAAAGAATGGCTCTCATAGTCTATGAGAATCCCTCTTTGTTCAAGGACTTTTGCATCGGTAACCGTGGAGAGATTCGTGGGATCCGCCGACCAATTGAAATAACTGCTGCTTGGATCCCTTGAATATCACATGCATTAATTTGTTGCAGGTTCCAATCGGTTACGAGTGCGGTGGAGAAATTACCCGATTCAGACGGATGTAACTTTCTGGGTGGATATATATATATATAGAGATCGTTTTTCTCCCCAGACTGGGTTTAATACGCTACTATCAAACCCATTGTTTTTAAAATATGGTCGAACATATCCTCTGCAAAATGGGTGGTAGGACTCCAGCACTCCTCACCCTAATTTTCAATCCATGCCCTAGAAATCCCTAGAATCTAGAAGTCCAAAGACTTTGTGGGCACCACTGAAGAAAAGAACATTCCCAACATCGGGTCACGGAGTCCACTTCTGGTCTTGGACTCCCAGATCATATGTTTCTTATAAACGCACAAACAAAAATCCGACCGTCCAGGTATTGACTTTGCTGGGCGCTCTGGAGGGGCAGGACGTTTTTTCCGACTTTCCGAGCGACCGCGCCGGTGGGGACCAAGCACTTTGTCATGACGATTATTTGAAATTATTTGACAACATGACAAGTGAATTTGAGGGAAGGCCTTCGAGGGATATCAGGCGACGTGAGGGATAGCAGGGGATAAGCAAAACGGTAGGTGCCAACGGTTTAGTTTAATTGCCACGATGCCCTAGAGCGGCGCTTGCCGTGGAGTTCCTGGAGAAATCGACTGCAACATACGGACAATGTTTGATGGAGGAGAACCTTTTGGGCCTTTTGAGGGCGTGAATATCCATTTTACTGTAAACACATGTAAAAACATCATTTGGTATTTACCAGTTTACCACACATATTGAGATTTGTCATGCAGCCTTTTGATAACGCTATCTACTCCTGGTCCAGGTTGATTGCAATTTCAATTTCTATCAACATAGGTTCAAGTGGTTTGTGTTTCACTTGATGCCTATTTTGGGCACCACCCTTGAGGAGTGCAATCCCCAAGAAGAGCGTCCTTGTGCCTGAAGTCTACGAAGATGTGTGCATCGTCCGCAGGAACTCACCGCTCATGGCCGACAAATGGCGAGGCGCATGCGGAACATTCGAAGACCCCACAGGGCACCGAGATCCCACAGGGCGCAGGGTGTGTATCGCTCGGTTTGGGTGACGCGAACATTGTAGGTGAGCCGGTGAAACGCAAGGCCATCCATCGTGTCCCTCGGTTGTGATTGCCTAATCTGACTTTTGTTTGGCATGGTGGTACCCAATTCACGTTGTTCACAAGCAGCAGAGGCCAACTTGCGTTTGTGAACAATCTGGTCAACATGAATTTGGATCGGCTTGACAAGTTTGCTGACGGTCTACACAATGGAGTTGGCTAGCAGACACAACATTGTTCTTGAGCAGATGAATTCCACTGCTGCCCTTCATTTGCATCAGCCATGTAGTCAGCTGGCGAGACAGAGGCCTCAAGTGACCAGGCTTCCGTTGCATCCTCGTTTGGCGCATTTGGTGCTTTGTGCAGAGACCAAGGCGCAGGGGATGGCTTCGAGTGGAGACTTTGTATGTGCAGCTTTGTTGTGTGCAAGGAAGAACGTTGTGTCATGGTGGGCCAGCAAGGGACAGCAAAGCGCAGTTATATATATGAGTCATAAGAATGAAGGCCTCAGGATCTCTAACACACATCAACAGCCAACATTTGACTATGCTTGAACCTACCTTAGTGCGTTTCAAGACTGGCCAGGAAGCTGGTTCGGGGCCGTCGATTGCATCTCTTTGTGCTTTACTGGAGGAAGTTCGGATGCTCAGCCAAAGTCGCCAAAGTCTTCCAATATCTTACGGTAACGCTTTTTAAATATATGGTGGCCTGGCCAGAGCAATCGGCTCCGGAGGTAGTATAAAATACCTGTTCCCACCGTATATTTAAAGGGTCTGGCCGGGCCAGAGCAATCGGCCCCGGAGGTAGTAAAAAATTATTGTTCTCCCCGTATATATAAAATGTAATCCCTGTTGACATTTCTTTTACGAAAAGGGATTGAGGCCCTTACAGAGAGGCCATGTTGTAACGAGGCAGTTTTTGGCACCTACAGAACCCGATTTTTGTAGAGAAATAACTTGATGCTTTCTGCCCAGCAACTAGGTCGATCTAGCTTTTCAAACACTCTCACAGGAAGTAGAACTCATCAAGGACTCTTACTACTTTCAGGGCTGCAGGTTGTATGGGGAGGTGCCACACCACCAAATCAAAACCACCAGGGCCGCCTGGACCACTTACTTGCACCACCAAGACCACGAGGACCACCAAGAGTAGACTGCCACAATCACCAGGACCACCGGACCCAAAGCCACCAGGACCACCAAGACCACCAAGAGCACCACCAACACCGCCTAGACCGCCACAATCACCACCAAGACCACC